CAAAAAAATGTTAAAGTTGTCACTTTCAAATTGTTGCACTAGATCCGCCGATAACGGTCCATATGGAACATTGACCCAACCATAGCCTCGTTTCCTATCGTGATGCCGGTGCTTCGAATTTTCGACCTACGGATAAGGAAAATTAATAGTTGTCTGTCCTCCGCAAAAAGCACGACGGACCGGTCAATCCGAAATTTCAACCCCCAAATACCCCTTCTTGCACTGGTCGCCCGCAACACAAAAATCAGCCACCTTGACACAAACAAGATAACCCACTATACTGCAGCCTCAAGGCTGTGAATCCCCTACCACTCTTATACCTCTCATTTCTACTTAAGTCTCATGGTTCATTTCATACAACACCCAATAAGCTAAGGTCAAAGGTTTGAAGATTTATTTGGGGGACATTCAACATCGATACTCGATAGATGGTTATAGGGGTGCGTTTCAAAAACGCAAATATATCATTCAAATGTCCATTGTCCATACAAATCTGGGGATATTTTTTAGGTTAATCCGCTAGTTAAGAAAAATATTGCTTACTATAAGTTTCCAAGTTTTACCCAAATCCTTCACATTTGCAAACTTTATTTTTAACTTCTTGTACGGATTCTCATTTGCCAAGATGGACATTCTAATATAAATGTCTTTGTTTACCTATAATATAGTCAATGTTAGTCATCAATATAGTTATATGAAGAGAAAATTGATAGTCTTCATTGAATTTGGCTTCATTTAACAAGTTTCTTTTAGCTTCATTGGCTAGTGTCTCATCACTGTGGTGATTGGGAGGACCAGAATCGATCAGCTAGGGTCCGTTACCCAAGCTAGGGGGTAAATCTTTCGTTACCCAAGCTAGGGGGTAAATCTTTCGTTACCCAATCTAGGGGGTAAATTTTTCGTTACCCAAGCTAAGAGGTTAATCTTTCTACATGCCAATGATTGTAAAGCCACTAACCTGATTCGCACGCAATGCCTAGCGCATTGGTCCTTATTCAAGGAACTTCCTGATTGTAGCACGCTAAAGTTATAAGAGAATTATTTTTTTTAAAAGCGAAATCAAAGTCGTTTTGCCGCTCTAGCCAATTGTCTCGGCCATACCTCTCACAAGTACCTACGACAAAATATTGCACATCGTAAAATATACTTCCCCCAAAAAAATTGTTGCGAACCCTAAATCTCCGTATACGCGCCAAACTACCTTCCAATCATTCAATCTCCGCAAAGATCATACCTTCACGATATGCTTCAACTAAGTGTCATATGCAACCCCATAACCTACGAAGTGTCACGTAACAACCAACCATAAGGTTTTGCATGTTTTGGCGGTATCATAGATCTGACCTGCTTCTCTCCGTGCATAAAGATTTGTATAATTCATGAGATGTGCTCAGACGAAATAAGAAATGGGATAAACATTAAAAAAAAAGACTGCGTTCAGACTCACAAATACAATCGGAAAACAAAAAGAGTTTAACGTGGTTAAATATTTGTCTCAGTTGACTGACGTATGACTACCTAAAAAGATCGGTCCTTAAGTAATAATTGTTCACGTACGAGTCCAGTTAACGATTACAATGTTCAACCACACATACCCCCTATGCTACATCGCACAAAAAACACCCACCCAATGATGATAGCTCATTGGATGGAGGTGAGTTGTACCTCGCGGGATCCTATCATGTCTTGGGGACTTAGGAGTATTGTTTATTTTTAACTTTTGCATAACACTGCTGGGAGGGCACTTGGATGACGGCTAAGAAGTGCACTGTACAAATTGGTGTAAGTACGGTTAAAATGACCCTTTGGTTTTCTTATAAATGAGGGTGAAAATTGGGGGGTCGGTTAACCTTCTGTCGACAACTGATGCGCTTGAAAGTGGGAATGGGACCAGGCTAGAAAATTAGCCATCAATTGTTACGCCAGAAATTGTTCATAAGCTAAAAACTTCTTTTGCACAGGGAATTCGGCAATAATTTCCACATCTTACTTCTTGCTACAATGCTTGATACCTTTCCATGTACAACCTACTCTTCTTCCCGAGAGCCGCAGGGTGCTCCGACTACCTTTCAAATATTCTCCCTTATCCAAAGACTTGGGGTTTGATGATCCCCTCAGTTATGACGGAGAATCTGATGTTGATTTGCCTGACAAATTTCCTGGTGTAACTATGTTTCAACTTTCAATTCGTATACCTGCAACTTCCCTCACCTTTGACGCAGTGCTTGACCACACTTGAATAAAATCGTTCTACTAGTCTTGGCAATTTTTATGTTACAACTCTTACACATTGATGGGGTCCTTGACGACTCTTGAATTTCAAATCTCTGATACGACTCTCTTTCGACTCTTGCGCACTAAACTTCCCCCACCCTTGATGTGCTTGACGACTCTGCGATGGCATACACAACTGGAAACCTAATCTTGACAGAAAAAATGTCTCCCATCGCGTTGTTTACAATTTTTAGCAAAACCTGTGTCAGGACGTCAGAGCTGCAGCACGAGTTTGGTACTGGATTCTCTCCCGACGCGAGCATACTGGGAATCTTCTTTGAGTAAGGAGGTGCTTCCGGGTTGGTTCCTTTTCGTCCTCATCCCTAGGATACAGGGGGTTGGAGGGTATCCCCATCAGGAGGGGCATGGGGGAATGAATGGTAGGGTTTCTTCATGAGTGGGGGCACAAGGGGATCTTTGCCTATCGGAGGAGTGATGGAAAGGGATAAGCAGCTTTGCTGGGGTATGGGGGGATGGCAGGGCTTTTTCATGAATAGGGATGCAAGCTGAGTGTTCGAGAGAGAGAAGCAGCCCTGCTGCAGAGTATGGCTAGATTTACATTAGGTTGAGCAGTTAAGCCCCCCTCATAAGAAGGCAAATCAATGCTCTTCTCCTCTGTTCATTCCTCTAATCTTATTGAATTGGACGCTGGACCCGGCTTTCATCAGATGTTTCTCCCTACCAATGTAGATTAGAGCCATCAAAATGGGCAGACCCTGCTTTTGGAGGACTCGAGGTTACCTTCACAAGGTTTTTTTTTTTTTCTTTTTTCCAAGGAACCTTTTCTCATAATTAAACAAATCAGGAGGTTGGGGACCTCACGCAATTCAAGCCCGAGAAAATATTGAGAGCTTTACTCACCTTAGTTTACCTCGAGCTTCAGAATTCCTATCATAAACCGTCAGTACTTCGGCGGCCATATATTGGCCGCGGGAAAAATTCAAGTGGAAGCATTTCTTGTCGGATGAATTAGGTCGCTCTCTGTGTGGCCCGTTCAGCCCCCGGCCAGCGCGTCAACGCCCACTACTTCAGCAACCATACCCCCCTCTCCACTACACCAGCTATTTCTACCTAATTTACAGACCTAAATCCAGTCTGACACCTGGTCATGTGCCCGGTCAGTTGAAGCCTGACCTGGTTTCTTCGGCCTATGACACTCTACACTCCCTCCCTCCTATCTGCCTCCATCAACCATAAATAGTCAACAACAGAGTGCTCTGGTTGAACCCATGGACCCCCCATACCTCCTATGACCCATTTCCTTTTTTTTTTTTTTTCTGACCCATTTCCTAGTTTGCCTTACAACCCGTCGGCTTACCGTTCCTAAGAACCTAAGGGCATACTCACTCTAGCACTTTTTCGCATATTTCTGGACAGAATTATCGCCAGATGCATCCAGGCATGGCCATAAATGCGATCAGATACATTTAAGATGGTGTTAGTGGGAGTACGCCCTCCCCCTATTTACCGACAAGTTTCCCCGCCCAAAACGATTTTCGCAAAGGATCACCTCTTGCCCATGCTTGTTCGAACCAGAGCATCCTGCAGTCACCATCCGATCTCAAAAGATCCCACAGGCTCTACTGGTTTCACTTTCCCCTTGCCAGCCAGACTGAATGGGCCAACCGACTCAATGCAAAAGCTGCTGCATCGACAGCTTGGCCATAGCTCTCATCTTCTTCTTTTCTGTCTTTTTTTCTTTTTTTTCAAAGGCGAATTCTTTCAAGCCCAACCAATTCAATTACCCGTCAATCTGAACAGGACGGCCTTTCAGGCCTTCTTTATTGTAATTATAGTATTACGGGGAACCCCATAGCAGCCACATCCGTGCAAAGGAGGAAGCCCTCCCCCCACCCCACCCCACACACACACACAAAAAAAAAAAAAAAAACTGACATGAACCAAAAAAAAAAAAGACCGGATAGAGCACAAAACAGCCACATCATCAGGGGGAAAAAAGAAGAAAGTTTTCACAGTTTTTTTGCCTCGCCCGGGTGACCCGGGCAGGAGGGTCCCAATCGCACTCGCCCGGCTGCCCGGCCGCACCCGTGCGGATCTGGTAGCCATTTCTGGCTTCAAATATCAAACGGCCCACAGGATCTGAAACTCCAGAGCAGAGTCACCACGGACATGCACAGATTTCGCAAATTTGGCATTCGGCGTGAGAGGAAGTCGGACCGCTACAACGGGTCTACTGAGCGAACCGTGCCCACAAATGAATGAAACCCTGAGAACACTGCGCCGAGTGGAAATGGAGTCCATGGACCCCACGGCTGATCCTTATTACTATTTAGTATTTATATGTTGTGGGAGATGTCTCTTCTCTTCACTAATTCACACCCTCTCTTCCACCGAAACAGCATTGCTTGAAGATTTCAGAGTCTTCAGACCTACAGCTGTTTCGGTGAAAGAGGGTGTTTGGCTTGGTCTGTTGTTTTTGCATATGTGAGTCCATGGGCCCCACTGCTGATCCGTATTGCTATTTATATGTTGTGGGAGATGTCTCTTCTCTTCACTACTTCACACCCTCTCTTTCACCGAAACAGCCACCACGGTCCACATTACATCATCATATACTTCATTGCTTGAAGATTTCAGAGTCTTCAGACCTACATCTGAGAAAATACATCGTAATTTCACCAAGCCGCATGAAATCTTTTACTGATCTTTCGGAGTTGGGGAGCGGAAGCATTTGCGATGCCGAGCATCTGACAACAGAGGACCTAGGGAAGGTTGGGTCTTTATCAGCACATAAAGGGCAAAAGACCGAAGCATCAATAGATTCAACATACATGATATAATAAGTCAATCTGAATGACATCGCTCAAGTTTGAAGAAGCATTACCCAACAAACCTAACAAATGCAAAAACAACAGACCAAGCCAAACACCTGACGAGCTGGACATCGACATTCACATGCTTGTGAGATCGGACAAGATGACGCAGGGAGATCTCGTTGTGCTACAGACGATCGATCACTCTTAGACGCGGGATGCGAACCAAACGTCGTATTTAAAATTTGGGCTAGCCTTTTGACAAACGGTCACGTTTAGAAGCATCCCGCGCTTTGAAGTGGATTGGAAATTCTCTGGGAGCACCTGAGAAAACATTGATGCACAAAAGGACGTACAGTACGGAACTCAATGGAAACAGACACAACATTCTCTTCTGAGCTGAAAACATTAACCTAAAACAAATGAAAACAACCATGGGTACATGGTATCTTTAACGAGCTAACGAAAAACAAAAAAATATCAAAATGCTGATGTTGATCCCTTTGTCTGCCCCATTAGGTGATCTTTCGCTTCATTTATCTTTGAAGCTAGATAATCACTGCCACCGGCATCTGGATGGTTTGCTGTCATCACTCGTCGATGCGCCTCCTTCACTTTCTCTGCAGCCGCATGCTCCCTGCGCAGAACGTAACAAGATAAACAAAAACTGATCAGCAGGTTGAACTTCACATCCTATCGAAGCCCGGGGTTATTTCACTTTTCCTTAAAAGGGCGACGGTCGGTGTGAGATATCATCTTTGAAGTTCGAACCGACCAGCCCCGCCTTAGTCGTCAACTCGCTGATATCATTACGGTCGTTGAGATCGACGTAGGGTAACCGATTTGGATGATATCCATCAACCGCAGCTCCGCTGATATCATTACGGTCTTTGAGATCGACGTAGGGTCTTAAATGCGCCACCTTCAGTGGAACACCTTAAATCCGTCCTGCCCCGATCTTCTGCTTCTTTTTCACAGACAAACTAAATTGGATTTCATCACACACTTGCTGGGAACTTCCCAAACTGAAATTGCTTGCTCAGCAACACTCGGATGCTCGATGAAACTCTACAACAGGGTGCCCTGCTACCATGGTCACCATGTATCAAACAGACTTCGGATTGCTATTGTGTGCAGAGAGATCTCAGTGGTCGCCATGAACCAAACACACAGCAGCTCTTCTCTCTCTCTCTCTTTCTCTCTCTCTCTCTCTCTCTCTCTCTCACGGTCGAGTATAAAGATATCAATGAACACTAATTGGCTTATAGGTACAACCCACAGAATATCCCAATGCCCCATCCTCATCTTGTAATATTAAATTAGACAGAGGTGGAAAGTGTGCCGTGAATCCATTACCACTCGTGCATAAGTAGACAAGCACATGCTCAAGAACTTGTGGGATTGACGACGCTATGTTGAATACAGAATTCCAACCCACCTGACGCCCAGGATCAATGCTGCTTCCCTCCTCGTCATAACTGGCTGAAATCCGCCCTGGTAATGCTTGCGGACTCGCACAAGCCTTGGACGAGTTTTCCAAACTTGAAATGCTTCGATGCCATATTTTCCTGCCATGGCAGCAGCCGCCACTACCAACCCCCCAACCAATGGTGTAACCTTTTTCTTGTGGGAATTTGTGAGCATTTTGGGGTTGTGATGGGCAGGGGGGCAATTCGTGGGGTTGCGATGGGCCGGGGGGGTAGGGGGAGGGGAGGGTGGTGGAGTTCGTGAGCATATTGGGGTTGTGATGGGCCGGGGGGGATTGGGCAAAAAGGGGAGGGGAAGGAAGCACACTTCAGAATCATAAAACAAGATCAAAGACATAAACAATCCACAAAAAAGCACAACAGAACAGAGGCCGAGGATGCCCCTCTATCAGCGCACATGCAGTGTCGACCACAACAAAGCTCGGGACCTGCAACAAGGCCACACACAAAGTCAGAACGCCATGCTTAAACAACCAGTACCTCGCCCGGCTAAAAAAATCCTACGCGGCCGTTAACACGCCGCGTCAGGCGGGGTACCTAGCGACGAACGGCCGATATATTTTCCCAAAAAAAGGAGGAAAAAAAAGAACATCAAAGAAAATGAGAAGTAACGAGCGGAAAGAAAAACAGGCGCGGCAGGGAGGAGGGGAGGGGAGGGGGGGGGAGAGAGAGAGAGGGCGTCACCACACCACTCTCGAAATGTGAAAAAGACAAATGTAGTGGGTGCATCTTCCCATGTTCTCGCGGCAAGTTCATTCTCATTCTCGAGAGTGGGTCTGTGTGATGCAGTGTCT